GGTGCCCGCGCGCGCCGAGGAGATCACCATCCCCGCCGCCGTCACGCCAGAGCGGGTGCCCACCCACATCGTGGACTTCTCAGGTAGGCTCCGCGCGGCGCCCATGCCAGGCCTGTCCGCGCGCGCCTGCAGCGGGTTCTCTCTCTCTAGAAGCCGAACAGACGGATGAGGAGCTCCAGGAGGAGATCCGTAAGGTGCGGGAGCTGCGTGGATGGAGGCGCCGGCCATCGGCCCTGACAGTCAGCATCCAGAGCGGGACTCCTGCAACACCCCTTTCAGGGATCCAGGACAGTCTAGTGCCTGCAGTGCTGCCCAAAGGCAGAGGGCCCTCCCTCCGTCTCCTTCCCGGCATCTAAGGAAGCACAGTCTCCCCTTAAACTCCTCTGCAGTCCCCTTGCCCTGTACTCTGGTCCACTGCGCAGGATCTCCAGGCTCATCTGCTATCAGAGCCCCTGGATCTAACTCTTGCATTCTCCATGTATCCTGGTTGTATCCATCACTAGTTGTGCGCAGGCCACAGCAACCCAGGGGCAGCCCCCCAGCCCTCACAGGGCACATTGCTGTCCTCTGGACTTTGGCTGCTTGTGACTTGAAAGTGGGAGGTGGAGTCAGGAGTCTCATCTTAAAAGTAGCTTGCTCATCAGGGGTGTGGCTGGGTCTGTCCTGAGCACTTGGGCCTACAAAACAGAGCTGTGGTGCTGGGGCCTGGTATCTCCCTCTTGGGGGCAGGGAGGGACTTGTCTGAAGCTGCCTGGCCCAGGGTGATCCAGCCAGGAATACCCTGCCCTGTGAGTACCTGCTGTAATTGGTCAGGTTCCAGGGTAGGGTGGGCTTGCCAGGCTTTGGAGCTACATCCTGTGCTGCTCTGAAGCACTTGAGACATGCTGGAGTCTTGGGATGTGTGGAATGGTCTGAGCTGTCCACTGTAAGTGGGCAGCTTCTGGTCACCCTGTGCCTTGCTGCTGTTCTTGCAGGCAAATGTGGTGTGTGTGGTGTACGATGTGTCTAATGAGACCACGATTGAGAAGGTGAGCAGGAGGGAGCACCCCATCCATCCCAAGTCCCTGCCACTGGCTCTGTCAACAGTCCCCAGTGCAGACCAGGTAGTAGTCAGTGGCCTAGGGGAAGTTTTGTCCATGCCTGTGACCAGCCCCATCTCTATTAAGCATTTCAGGAAGCCCCACATCTCTGTGTTGAGGTCAGGCTTCTGGTACTTATTTCTCCACAGAGCACCTGGATTATTGCTCTATTTAAGCCAGCATTTCCTTTCCCTTTCCAACAAAGATAGCCTTAGAAAAAAGGTCCAGGGCCTGCCTGAGGTCTAGGATCTCGGTGTGCCTGGAGGGGCTTGTAGCTGCTCAGATTAGACACGGCCCTGCTTTCCATCATTTTCTCTTACTGGCCTCAGTTAGCCTCAAGCTCCCCTCCTCTCCTTGAGCCTGGTGCAGGCCCTGGGTGGGCATCTTGGACTGGGTGGGATGCCTCCCTTCATGGCCAGGCTTTGCCTTTCAGATACGAACCAAGTGGATTCCACTGGTGAATGGGAGAACTGAGAGGGGGCCCAGGTAATAAGCAGGACCTTGGCAGGGAGAAGGAGTGGGACTGAGCTCCAGTGGCTCCCTGTACCTGGTAACCATGGGCTTCTCCCCAGGCTGCCCATCATCCTGGTAGGCAACAAGGTGGACCTACGGTCAGGAAGCACCATGGAAGCTGTGCTACCCATCATGAGCCAGTTTCCTGAGATAGAGACCTGTGTGGAGGTAAGCAGGGTGAAGGCCAAGAAGAAAAAGGGCTCTGGTGAGTACAAAAGCACCGAGTTGCTCATGGTTGCCAGCCTAACCCCACATCTGTGTCCTCTTCGGTTGCCTTCTGAGCCTGTGCTGTGCTCTTACAGTGTTCTGCCAAACATCTGAAGAACATCTCAGAGCTGTTCTACTATGCCCAGAAGGCCGTTCTACATCCTACAGCCCCCCTGTATGACCCTGAGACCAAGCAGGTGGGCAGTGGCTTCTCTGGGTATGGAGAGTGAGCAGATGGGAGTGGCAGGGTGGACCTTCCAAAGGCTGCTAGGGTTCTGAGTAGATGTTCCTGCAGCTGAAGCCTGCGTGCACCCAGGCCCTCACTCGAATCTTCAGGCTCTCCGACCAGGACCTGGACCAGGCACTGAGCGATGAGGAGCTCAGTGCTTTCCAGGTGTGCCCTGACCCAACTGCCCATCCTCAGGTAATAAAGCCCTGCTGTTCTGGGGCATTTGACTGATCTGAAACCACTTCCTTTTGGAGACAGAAGTCCTGCTTTGGCCACCCTCTGGCCCCACAGGCCCTGGAAGATGTAAAGAGGGTGGTGTGCAAGAATGTGGTGGGCGGCGTGCAGGACAACAGACTAACCCTGGATGGTGAGGCCAGATGCTCTGTTGAGCCTGAGTATGTGGGGAGAGGGCCATGTTGTTCCAAGTGCTACCCGCCTCTGCCCTTCACAGGCTTCCTCTTCCTGAACACACTCTTCATCCAGCGTGGTCGGCACGAGACCACATGGACTATTCTGCGACGCTTTGGCTACAGTGACTCACTTGAGCTGACAGCAGACTACCTCTGCCCACGGTGAGTGGAGCCAACCCACCTGTGTGTAAGGTCCTGCTCAGAGGACAGCTGAGACTGTTCTGCAGTGTGGGCCTCTCATTCTGTCTGCCTGGGTCCCTGTGTGTATAGAGGACTGGGTTGAGTAGGGCCCCCTGCATCAGGCCTCATGTACCAGAGACCATGCCATCCTCCTTGCCTGGCCCCAGCTGAGGAGCCATAGGAGCCTCAGACGGGCCTTGGCCACATGGATGGTGCTGGCAGGGTAAGGCAGGAGCTGAACTACTGTAGAGCACAGGATCTCCTGGGAGCTAGATGTCCCATACATCTCTGCAGGCTCCATGTACCCCCTGGTTGCAGCACTGAGCTTAACCACCGCGGCTACCAGTTTCTGCAGCAGGTGTTTGAGAAGCATGACCAGGTAAGTGCTACCACCCTGGTCAGCCCTTGCCGTTCCCCAGCACTTGTGACTATGGCCCTTCTGCCCACAGGACCATGATGGCGCCCTCTCACCCTTGGAGCTGCAAAACCTCTTCAGTGTGTTCCCAGTGGCCCCCTGGGGCCCTGAACTCCCACGCACTGTCCGCACTGACACCAGCCGGCTACCCCTGCATGGTTTCCTCTGCCAGTGGACGTGAGCACATCCCTTCTACCCCTGCCCCCACCCCCTGCTGCCTTCCTCACTGACGCTGTGCCTCGTGCCTCCAGCCTAGTGACCTACCTGGATGTCCAGCGCTGCCTCGAGCACCTTGGCTACCTAGGCTACCCCACCCTCTGTGAGCAGGACTCCCAGGCACAAGCCATCACAGGTGGGCACCTACCCTCACCAGGCCCTCGGTCCAGCCTCTCCCCAGCATTTTTCTTCACCTGAGTCTCTGCTCACAGTCACTCGTGAGAAGAGGCTGGATGAGGAGAAGGGGCAGACCCAGCGGAATGTCCTCATGTGCAAGGTGGTAGGGGCCCGAGGAGTGGGCAAGTCTTCCTTCTTGCAGGCCTTTCTTGGCCACAGCCTGAGGGTAAGCATCTGCAGAGACCCCAGTCCCCACCTGGGGACCCAGGGGCAGGAGAGGGCACTGTGGGGAGTGCGGGACCAGGAAGCATAAGGCTCTCTTTGTCCCTGTGACACCAGGACACCAGGGCATCCCCTGGGGAGGCTCCCATCCACGTTATCAATACAGTGCTGGTCAGTGGACAAGAGAAGTACCTGATTGTGAGTGCTGGGAGTGAGATACCCATGTGCCCATGCCACCTGGTAGATTTGTCACAGGGTGGCCCTTGGGGAGGCCAACTCCTGGGAACACCCCTCAGAGCCCCATCTGTTCCAGCTATGTGAGGTGGATGTGGACAGCATGTTGGCCACTTCCCTGGACACCGCCTGTGATGTTGCCTGCCTGATGTTTGATGGCAGCAATCCTGCATCCTTTGCATTCTGCGCCACCGTGTACAAGGCAGGGTGACACTGGGAGCCCTGCAGGTGGAGGACAGCTCTGGGACAGGTGGCTGGTGGGCCCTGCCTCACACAGCCCCTCCTCCCACAGCGCCATTACATGGATGGCCAGACCCCTTGCCTCTTTGTGTCGTCCAAGGCCGACCTGCCTGCAGGTGTCGCCCCACCAGGCCTGTCACCTGGGGAGTTCTGTCGCAGGCACCGGCTGCCTGCCCCCACCCCATTCTCCTGCAGCGGCCTGGCCCAGCCCAGCACTGATATCTTCACTCAACTGGCCACCATGGCTGCCTTTCCGTGGGTGCTTGCACCAAGGCCTTGGGAGGAGGGTGGCCTGCCTTATACCAGGGCTCTAAGGGTGCTGATCACCTGGCTGTGCTGGGTGGGGGCTGTGGAGTGGGGTTCTGTGGCACTGAGAGCTGTTCTTGGTACAGCCCTCCAGGCCTAGCTTCTGCCAGCAGCCTGGGACACAGTGGGGGGATATGCACCCTAAGTACCCATCTTCCCTCACAGACACCTGGTGCACACAGAGCTGCGCCCCACCTCCACCTGGCTCCGGGGAATGCTGGTGGCTGTTGGGGCCACCGTGGCTGCAGTCCTCAGCTTCTCACTCTATAGAATCCTGGTGAAGAGCAGATGATGCCTCTCAGCCCCCTCTCCTGACCTAGTGGGGCCCCACAGGGGCAGTCTGATGCAGGCTTTCAGCCTCACAGCATGACTATGAGCCCCTGGGGCACTGCTGTGGTGCCCCTGCATCCCCTGCCCTTTCCTCAGGCCCCTCCTCAGGGCTGGGTGTGCCCCCAGCACTGCCTCACGAAAGCTCTACCCAGACTGCCTGGCTGAGCTGTGCTGAGAACCTGGGCTTGTGACCCAGAAGCTCCACTGCCTGGCCTGAGGGCTCCATGGCAGATGTTCCTGGTGGGAGGCCCTTTCCTCACCTTTGTGGGTATTGGGTAAGGTGACCATTGACCCTAGACCCAGAATTCTTACGGCTCTCCCTTGCTTCTGGTGTCAGTGGGTATGCAGGGGCCAGTAAGTGGCTAGGCTGTTGTGCAACCCCACCTTCCCATCCAGTTTGAAGCCTTGTCCGTGGCAGAAGACATGAGGTTGGATTTCCTGATTAAACCTCACTTGTTTTTTTCCTCTCTGGGATCTCAGTCTCTGAAGACTGCTTTTCTTGAATCAGTCTAAAGTATGTTCTTTGTCTTGGTGTGATTGTGTCACTGGACCCCCCTCACCTCCCTTCCATCCCTAAGTCCCCATCATGTGACCTCAGGCCAATGTGGAAAGTCCAGTTTGGGGTAACCTGTGGTCCAAGAGCCTTAATGTCCACTGACATGCATTCTCTGTGCTCCCTCCCTTTCCTTGGGCCCCCAACACTGCCTCCCCAAACCTTTCTACTCAAGTCAGCCTGGCTGAGCTGCACTGATTACCTGGGCTTCTTGTGAACCAGCTGCTGTAACAACCCACCACAAACATGGACAGAGGGAGCTCTGGCCTGAGATGAGTAGGGCCTTCAACCACAGCATGGCTTCCCCAACCCTGAGCCCCTCTTCCTCATCTGCCTTTAAGGAGTAGCAAGTGGGTGTCCCAGTGAACCTGTGTGCTGCCTGCTCCACAGAAATGCCTGATTTGAGGGTCTCGAGCTGGACCCTGATGTCCCCCACCTCTCTGCCAACTTAATTCCACTGGCTTTGAGGCTGGACAGGAGATGCTATTTCTAGCTCACAATGTCCCCTGAGGCCCAGTGGTCTGAAGTAATAGCTCCATTGTATCTGTAGCAGTGGGCAACTTCAGCCCTTGGCCAGTTGCCATCGCTTCATGTTCTCTTTACCCATCACCTCCATCATTAGAAGGGTTTAGTTGCTCTCCCCAGGAGCAGCTGCTCTTCTCCCAGCTTCAGCCCTGCCCTTGAAGACTGCTGTCCATGTGGATGCCCCCTGTTATCCTGTCTGGGGCTTCCCGGTTGGGAGGCCCTGATGCCCTGATTCTCCCACACTCCTCCAGGCCCCTGGGGGGGGGCGGGGGGATGCAAATAGGTTGTTTTGGTTGTCTGAGCAGGAGCAGCTGTGGCAGGACCTTTCCCACCTCTGCTACCCAACTGGGGCTATGAGGTTTCCTTGCTGTGGCACTGGGGAGAGGAACAGGGGTAACTTGCTGCTGGACAGATGCACTTAAGGATCTTCCATCCCAGCGACGGGAGCGCAGGGTCACAACTTGGGGAGTCAGGAAGCCTAGCGGTCAGGAGAAGCTTCTTGGAGGAAGGGAGGCCCATGCTGAAGCTTGAGCCCCAGAAGGCTGCAAAGGAAAGCTGAAGGTCTTGATTGGGCGGAGTTTTAGAAACTGCACCTTGACTGAATCGCCGTCTGAGCTTGGCAGAAGGAGCTTCAGCTGCCCGGAGGGGGCACACAATGCCTGCATCGGAACCATCCTCTTGGAGGAGGCCGGTTCCTACCTAGGGCGTGCATCCGGTGCAGCGCGTCCGTGTGCGAGGGGCGCGCGTTTCGTGGCGGCGTGTGCGCGGGGCGGGCGGTTCCGTGACGTGACTTGAGCGCGGCGCGCGCCGAGCGGAGCAGGCGGAGCGGGCCGGCAGGGGCGGAGCGGAGTCGTCCGCAGAGCAGCCCCTCCCGGCCTCGGCCGACCCCGGCCCGTTGCCCGGCCCGGCTCTATGGACAGGAGCTCGCTGCTGCAGCTCATCCAGGAGCAGGTGCGTGGGGTGGGGGCCGGCACCGCCCCCCGACGATCCTCCCGCTGCGGCGCCGGGCTGGGGGAGGGACCGGGCTTCCAGACAGCCCCGCCGGACACCCGCCACCCAAGCCCCCTTTCCGCGTGCCCCTTGGCCCCTATGCCTGAGCTTCCAAGGAAAACAGCGGTGAGAGGGTGGTCTCGTCTTCTGACTCGGGCCCTCCCTCCCAGGACGGGGAGGGTGGAAATAAGGTGGGGGGAGCCCTGGGGACCCGGGCAACGTGCCCTGGAAGGACCTGGGAACAAGCCAGGTCCCAGGAACCAGCCTGCTGCTCTTAGCCAGCCCGGCTCAGCCCCATGGTCCGGGTGGGCGCACCCTCAAGCCTTGGTCGGCGGCTCCCCCACCACAGCAGCTGGACCCTGAGAACACAGGCTTCATCGGTGCGGACACCTTCGCTGGGCTGGTGCACAGCCATGAGCTGCCCCTGGACCCGGCCAAGTTGGACATGCTGGTGGCCCTGGCCCAGAGCAACGAGCGGGGTCAGGTCTGCTACCAGGAACTGGTGGACCTGGTCAGTGCCACGGTGGGTGGGCAGCAGGGGGGTGGCCCAGACCTGGACAGGCACATTGCCCTGGACAGAGCAGGGTAGGCAGGTGGCTTCTTCCTGGGGAAGGCTCATAGATTGGGGCAGTGCAGGGTCTCAGACCCTGTGGGCAACCTAAGGGGCAGGGTGCTGTGGGGGATGACACTACAGCCCATGCTGATGTCCCTGTCCCCCAGATCAGCAGCAAGCGCTCCAGCAGCTTCAAGAGGGCCATCGCTAATGGACAGCGGTCACTGCCCCGAGATGGGCTGCTGGATGAGCCTGGCCTAGGTGTCTACAAGCGGTTTGTGCGCTACGTAGCCTATGAGATACTGCCCTGTGAAGTAGACCGCCGCTGGTACTTCTACCGGCACCGCAGCTGCCCGCCCCCTGTGTTTATGGCCTCAGTCACCCTCACCCAGGTGGGCCTGCCCACCTGCTGCCCTAGGAGCTTCCCATGGCCCTGCCCTACCCAGCCCTAACACTCCTGTCCCCAGATCATCGTGTTCCTGTGCTATGGGGCACGCCTCAACAAGTGGGTGCTGCAGACCTACCACCCCGAGTATATGAAGAGCCCCCTGGTGTACCACCCTGGGCACCGCGCTCGCGCCTGGCGCTTCCTCACTTACATGTTCATGCACGCTGGGTGAGTGGGGCTGCTGTGCCTGTCGTGAGCACTGTTATGTCAGGCCAGCTCAGCCAGAAAAATGCAGTCTTGAGGTGGGCCTGGAGACAGGTGGGCAACACAGCTGACCCCACCCTCCTGCGGCCAGGTTGGAGCAGCTGGGGTTCAATGCCCTCCTGCAGCTGATGATCGGAGTACCCCTGGAGATGGTGCATGGTCTCCTCCGCATCAGCCTGCTCTACCTGGCGGGTGTGCTGGCAGGTAAGGCAGGCGTGGGCCCTCTGCCCACTGCCCTGGCTGGCTGCTTCTTCACACTTCCTTCTGCTCTGCAGGTTCCCTGACTGTCTCCATCACGGACATGCGGGCCCCTGTGGTGGGGGGCTCTGGAGGGGTCTATGCCCTGTGCTCAGCACACCTGGCCAACGTTGTCATGGTAATGGGGCCACCTGGAGGCTGGGTGTGGGAAGGGGCCCACCTGGCCTGCCTCACGGCCTCTCTGTCTGCATGCCATCAGAACTGGGCTGGGATGAGGTGTCCCTACAAGCTGCTGAGGATGGTGCTGGCCCTGGTGTGCAGTGAGTAGGGGGCTGGATGGGGGAATGGGGGGCCGCAGTCTGTAAACAGGACAACTCCCACCTGTTGCTCCCTCTGCAGTGAGCTCTGAGGTGGGCCGGGCCGTGTGGCTGCGCTTCTCCCCACCACTGCCCTCCTCGGGCCCACAGCCCAGCTTCATGGCACACCTGGCTGGCGCAGTGGTGGGGGTGAGCATGGGCCTCACCATCCTGCGCAGTTACGAGGAGCGCCTGCAGGACCAATGCGGCTGGTGGGTGGTGCTGCTCGCCTATGGCACTTTCCTGCTCTTCGCCATCTTCTGGAACATCTTTGCCTATGATCTGCTGGGTGCCCACATCCCCCCACCGCCCTGACCTACTCCCAGGGCCACCTAGGCTAGGCCAAGCATGCGGTGGGTTGACCACCAGGCAGGCCTGCATGTTGCCCCTGGTGAACAGACACCTCAAGGCTGCTGCTCTCTGTGGGGCAGGTGGGCCCTGCAGTCCACTGAGCTGAGGCCAAGCCTAACACCAGCCCTGGCTGCCCCTCCCAGTCCTGGGGAGAAGGTTGCTGGGCCAGGGTTGGACAGAGATCCCTGAAGACAGCCCCAGAGAAGACACCACCTTACCAACCCCACCCCAACCCACCCCAAGGACTTGCAGTCTGAGCCTTTTGGGGAGAATGAATAAATATTTTACACGGTGCCAGGTACCTGTCCCAGGGCTTTGGAGGCTTCTCTGCCCCTAACCCAGATCATAGGAGACCTGCCACACACTGAAGAGAGCCTGGACTTCCTTCCTCCTTGTACCTCTGAACCTAGATGAGAGTGGAGTTGGAGTACCAATGACCCCATGCTATGAAGAAGCTGGTGGCACCTGGGGAGGGACTGTGGGCCTTCTACTCAAACTGAGTTTAGCAAGTGTTTATTGCGCTCCTATGGCACCCAGTCCCCTATTTGGTCAGCCTGCCATCCAGAGAGACCTGTGTCCTGAGGTCTTGTGGCAGATTAGTAGGCCCTGGCCCATGGCCAGGTTCACTTGGTGGGAGTCCTGTGCTTCTTGACCAGCCTAGTGTCTCGTGGGTGGCTGAGCTGGTGCTGAGATGGGGCAGCAGGTCTGGCACAGCTTCAGCTCACAGACCACGTCCACTGTACTGTCTTCACAAGGGGAGGGGGTCCATCACCCTGAGGCACAAGCTGAAGTGGGCCCTGAGAGCCCAACCAGTGCTCCCTGATAAGGTCCTGGATGTCCTCCCAGCCCACCAGCTGCTTACTCACCTCTGTTCAGGGCTGCAGCACTCTCTTGCCCCTGGTCCAGGTACAGCAGGTAGTGCCTGAGAATATACTGCAAGGTAGGCCGGCCTGGCACTGTGGCCAATTGGGGAGTTCCAGCTGCCCCCCAAGAGATGGGGGGATTCTCAATGTTCTGGATCTCAAGACCATGTCACACATCACCAACTCTTTCCACAAGCAAGGGCACTCAGGTGCCCAGGCTGCGCCTAATTTCCCCAAGCCGGTGGCGCCACCCACAACATCGAGGATGCACAGCTTCGTGACTGTGGCGCGCTCCCTCGGAAAGCTGCCAAAGGCAGTGGCTGAACGCTGCACCACCAGCTCTGGGGGTTGTTGGCCACAAGCTGCTGCAGACAGTGCATTGAGGGAAGCCCAGGTGCGGGACCTCATCGGGGAAGCCCGCTCAGGGAGGCTCGGTCCCCGGAGAGGCCCCGCCCCGGAGGAAGCCCGGCCCATCGAGGCCCATCCTGCACGAGGCCCCGCCCCGGAGGAAGCCCGGCCCACCGGGGCCCCGCCCCTCGCCGTGGTTTCCACGCCAGCGGACGCCGTTGCTCTTCTTTTGGCCGTTGTCCCTCGCCGCCTCTCCACTCGCCTCACGCTGGCCGCTTACAGCTCCTTCCCAGTACCTGAGGAAGGGTGGTGAGGGGAGTCCATGACGCCCTACCTGCTGGCCCTCTCCTCCCTGCCGCCCTATCAGTGGTCCAGGACCTCCAGCTGTCCCCTGGCGCCCGCGCGCTCCCGAAGCACCTTTCTGCGGCGCGTCGAGATGACGGCCCAGCGTTTCGGGTCTTCGCCGCCCCAGAGCCTGCTGAGGGCCGCCATGTTCGCGTTGAGGGGCGGGGTCACGGGGGCGGGGGAGGAGGCGGAGCCCGCCGGGAGCGCCCCGCCCCCAGGTCGTCGGTCGCGCGGCTCCGAGCGCGTTCTCGTTCTGCAACCCCGCCCCGCGCCGGAAGTTCCGGTGGCGAATCGCCCGACCGGGCCGAGCGGATCGCGGCGCGGGGTGCGGGTGAGGGGCGGCCGGGCGCGGAGCCCGGGAGCGGAACCCAGTCCGTGCCGCGCGGCGCCATGAAGGGCAAGGAGGAGAAGGAGGGTGGCGCGCGTCTAGGCGCCGGCGGCGGCAGCCCAGAGAAGAGTCCGAGCGCGCAGGAGCTCAAGGAACAGGGCAACCGGCTCTTCGTGGGCCGCAAGTACCCGGAGGCGGCGGCCTGCTACGGCCGCGCCATCGTGAGTGCGCGGGGCGGGGGCGCGCCCGGCGCTCCTCCCCAGCCCGGGCGCCGCCAGCCCCGCGGGGCTTTGGGCTGCGGAGACTCGGTGGCGATCTCATTCCACAGGCGGCTATGCGCGACCCGATCCCGGATCGGGCGGGTGGGATGCTTGAGGCCGGCTGGGCCGGGGTCCTCAGCAAGATTGGGAAACTTACTTTAACAAAATCAATGAATTGGAGTCATGAGGGTAGTGTCAGCCAGAACCCAAGGGTCTGACAACTGAGAAACCTTTAGTTTCTCGACTCCAGCCATGGCCCCAAAGCTGGGACAGGACCTGGGACATCGGGTTGTCAGCTTGCTGGGGCAGAAGGGCAATGCGGGCCCACACCCTCTCGTGCTGGCCTTGGTCCCCAGACTCGGAACCCCCTGGTGGCAGTGTACTATACCAACCGGGCCCTGTGCTACCTGAAGATGCAGCAGCCAGAGCAGGCTCTGGCCGACTGTCGGCGAGCCCTGGAGCTGGATGGGCAGTCTGTGAAGGCACACTTCTTTCTGGGTCAGTGCCAGCTGGAGATGGAGAGCTACGACGAGGCCATTGCCAATCTGCAGCGAGGTGGGCCAACACCCTGCCTTGCCTGGGGCACCTAGGGCCCCAGGGATGGGCTGGGCAGACTAATCTCAAGTTTCCTTTCCCAGCTTACAGCTTGGCCAAGGAGCAGCGGCTCAACTTTGGGGATGACATCCCTAGTGCTCTGCGCATCGCCAAGAAGAAACGCTGGAATAGCATTGAGGAGCGGCGCATCCACCAGGAGAGCGAGCTGCATGCCTACCTCTCACGGCTCATCACTGCAGAGCGCGAGAGGTGGGCCCCTCCCGCTCCTTGTCAGGCTGCCTTCTTGGGTTAAACTGAGTCACCAGCACAGGTGTTTATTGAAAGCTAAGGTGGCACAGAGGAAGCTGGGGGGAAGATGCCCAAGGCTGGGTGGGCTCTGACATCTGCCCAGGTCCGTTTTAACCAGCTCCTGGTCAACCCTTAGGGAGCTGGAGGAGTGTCAGCGGAACCATGAAGGTGATGAGGATGACGGCCACGTCCGTGCCCAGCAAGCCTGCATCGAGGCCAAGCACGTGAGGGTGCCCCTGGCCCATGTGTGTGTGTTGGAGTGTGTGTGTGAGACAGAGGGGTACCCCCGACTGATGTTGGGTTATGTGCCTGCGTGTGGCCCACACATGCTCCACTCTTCACAGGACAAATACATGGCGGACATGGATGAGCTCTTCTCTCAGGTAGACGAGAAGAGAAAGGTGAGCATCTATTCCCTGAAGCCTGAGAATCGAAGGTACTAGAACAGTGTCTCTTTCTATCTCTGATACTGCTCTTTTGTTACAGAAACGAGACATCCCTGACTACCTGTGTGGAAAGATCAGCTTTGAGCTGATGCGGGAACCCTGCATCACGCCAAGTGGCATCACTTATGACCGCAAAGACATTGAGGAGCATCTGCAGGTAAGGCCTTGGGCCTGGGGACCAGGGCTAGAGGCGCAGCTCCAGCACACTGAGCACCCTGACCCTGTTGTAACTGCAGCGTGTGGGCCATTTTGACCCTGTGACTCGGAGCCCCCTGACCCAGGAACAGCTCATCCCCAACCTGGCCATGAAGGAAGTCATCGATGCATTCATCTCTGAGAACGGCTGGGTGGAGGACTACTGAGGACCTCGCCCCAGAGGGTCCTGAGGCAGAAGCCCCAGAACCTGTACATAGTTTGTGTCTCTGGGCCCATCCCCATCAGTTCTGCTAGTGGGCTCTGGACTGCTCCCTCTTTCAGCATAGCCCTTGCTGGGCCATGAGCCTTCCCTGTCCCTTTCTGGGCAGGAAAAGCAGGTGAGGGTGGGCTGGGCTGAGGCCCCTGCTGCTGCCACTGTCTCTGTAATAAAATCTGTGAGCACTACAGGGGCACGTGCTGGTGTATGACAAGCTCACCAGCTGCCTGCTCTGGCTAACCAAGGAAGGTTGAGATGAAGACACTGGTGTCCAGGTTGAGAGTGGCATGCCACCATCGGTCAGGGAAGTACAGCACCTGAGGGTTGGACCAGAGGATATTAGTCAGGGAAGTTTGGGTCTGGCCCCTGCTGCCAGCCACTAATCTCACTGGCCCAGATGGTACACCTGGTGGGGGATGTGGAGCATAAAGATTGGACACTTTTGGGCCTGGCCTGGTCCCCCTACTTGTCACTGACCTCACCAGCTCGGATGGTACACTCCAGGGGCCGCTCTGATGATGTCAGGGCTGGGTATGTGTCCTGCAGCCAGGCCAGTGTAGTTTTGTTGGGATGGAACTCTGGTGCCTTCTCAGGTGGGTAGAGGAACCAACGCTGCTGGCAGGAGCATGAAGTCACTATTGGGTCTTGTAGCCAGCAAGTCCCAAGCCTCAAGCCTCAGCCCTCAGCCTGTACATACCTTGCGGCCATAGATCACCTCCGAGAACCCTGGCCCATGCCAGTGGAAGGGCACCCCAGAGCCAGCTCCTGTGGAGTCAGTTATGAGCAGCTGGTGACTAAAACAACCTGCACTGGCTGGCATACACCCTCACACATGATTCCCAAAGAGCACCTACCTGCGATTCCAAAGCTATAGGCAGGGGTGGTTCCCAGCAGACGAAATGGGGGTGGTGAATAGTGCCGAAAGAGCGATGCCCACTCAGTGAAGTTGTTGTCCCCAAAGAAGTACAAGGTGTCTGCCAGCAAAGAAGGAAGTCCCCGGGTGCCAGGATCTGGCACCCAGGGACTCCCAAGTGTCCCATACCTCTGCTGTCAGGTCTGGCTCACCGTTCCCCAGGGAGGCAGGATCCTGAGGGTGTAGCAGCTGCTCAACGTATTCCTGGAAGGGCAGATCCACTATGGGGAAAAAACACTGGTCAGGACCGGGTGATTCTGCGTTCAAGACTACATGTTGGTCCCCCTTGGTGTGGAAGCTCACCTTTCCGGTAGGAGTAGGTGTTGGCTGTGCTCAGCCTCACTACATTGTCCCCAAAAGAAGCCAGCAGCCTTTCTCGGGAACACAGGGCCCGGAACCTCTGCGGGGACCAGCAGAAGGCTTAGCGGCAGGGCGGGCAGAGCCAGCGGTCCGCGGCGGGCGCCAGCACTCACCGAGTTGTCCGTGAGCCCCTGCAGGATGACCGGCCTGAGGAAGGCGTACCTGCGGAAGGAGGAGCCGCGCTCAGGTTCGGCGCACGCCCGTACCCGCCCCCCGCGCGCTGCGGGCCGAGCCCGCCGTTCCCGGGCTCTGCGCGCACGTACTGCTGCATGAACTCGGCGTAGGTGAGGTCCGCCCGACGCTCTACGGTGCAGCGCTCCTCTTCCGCCACGGCCGCCGCCGCCGGCCCGCCCAGCCACCTGCGGGCACATCCCGGTCAGCGCCGCCCGTGCCCAGCCGCCCAGCGCGCCCTCCCGCCCGCGCCGCTCACCATCCCCCGCCGCCTGCCTCCCAGGAGCCGGAGCCAGGTCGAGCCAGCGCCCCCAGTGCCCCCAGCGCGAGCAGGAGCGCCCGCAGCCCCCGCGCCATGAGCCTCGCGAAGCACGATGGGAGCCAGCGCCCGACCGAACTGTCGTCATGGCAACGGCCGGAAGCCTACAAGGCCCGCCCCCGCCCCGCCCCGGAAGGTGGTGTGGAGGTTTCGCCTGTGGCCATGGCGACACCGCCCGCCCGCGGTACGTTCCGGGAATAAGCAGCAACTTCAGCTCCCACTTATTTTATTGCGTTCACAATTCTGGTCCCCTTCCACCCCGGCACTGGAGCCGCGGGCCGGCGCTGGGTCAGGAGTACTCGCAGAGGTGGCCGCAGCCGGCAGGGCAGTGAGAGCTGCCCTCCAGCCACTTCATGATATGCTGCAGGTGGCCTCCGTGGCTGCAGCCCTGGCACCACACGAACAGACCCTTGACCACGTGGTGGCAGACAGCACACATACTGGCACAACGGTGGCACCTGGGGGTGGGGGATGCCTCAGCTGGGGCCTCCTGGGTTGCCCACGTGTCCCTGGGTCCCCCCACCCCACACTGCCCCACCTGTCGCAGACCCAGCCACGGCTGCTCATGGGCCTCTTGCAATTGCTGCAGTTGACGTGCAGTGTGGTGGACGCCTGATTGAGGCAGCTGACCGCACGGCTGGTGCTCAGCTTCACCACCTCGTTGGACACGTTCCAGAGGCAGAAGCGCTGCAGCAGGTCGATGTAGGATGTATACCAGTGCTCCTGCAGGGAGACCCAAAGAGGTCAGGATGGTCAGACAGCCTGGGGCATGGGAGCTTTTCTAGGAAGACCCTCCCCACCCCAGCACACACCTGGGTCTGCTCATCAATGTCCTTGCGCACCCGTTCACCCAGCACAATGAGCACAGACACAGCCATCTGCACGTCACCCTGCTCAGCATAGAAGCGCAGCATGTCACACACCAACACACTAAAGAAGTCCGTTGGCAGGCGGCTGTCATAGAGTGCATGGGAGATGGAGAGGAGGGAGAAAGAGTCCACAGGTGCCAGAGAGGCTGCATCTGCCTCACTGCCGCTAACGTGTGGTGAGTCAGCTTTGTCCTGCAGGTGCTCGGGCCCAGAAGGTGTGTCCAGAATCTCGTGGCGCAATGGGAAGGCTTCCTGTGGCAGCACGTACTCGGGCTCCTCGGCTGGGAGGCAGGGTCAGGCAAGTGGGCCTAGGCCACCCCACTGCCTCCCTGCACTCCCCAAATCTCCAGTCTGCCCAGCCGCCACTCAGTGGGCATGTTGTAGGCCTAGGCTTCTGCCCTACCTGCCACCTCCCTCCACCCTACCAAAGCCCCCACTCACGGTGCACATGTTCTGGGTCCAGTGGGTACAGCTCATCCTCCTCACCCTCAACGTCACCCAGCAAGTAGTCAGCAGGTACATCGCTACCCTCAGTTTCCTCATTATCTGCCCGGAAGGGAGGGAGGTCATTCAGGGGTGGTTTGCTGTGGAGTACCTCAGCTTCACTCCTGCCAGCATCCCCACCTGCCCTCCAGTCTACCCTCATTGGTGATGAGTGTGGCTGAGGAGTCAAGCAGAACCGTGTCGCTCCGTGTGTCCCCCTTGCTCCGGTCTAGCCGTGTCTCACTGCCTAGCCCTGGGGCCATATCCTTCAGGTTGAAACTGGGGACAGGAAAGGCTCATGGGTGGCTGGGCTCCAGTAGCCCCACACCCTGGGGAGAGCTAGCCCTAGACACATACCTGTTCATAAGTGGCAGGCCACAGGAGCTGCCTTTACCCACACTGTGGTTAAGGCTGGCAGACGGCACAAGACCAGGACTGCAGTAGATGATCCGCAGCATGGTCCATGTCTGCGCCACCTAGGGGCAGGCACCAGCCACTCAGAGGGTCCTGGGCACCCAACACCCCAGGCACACACACCCCCCCCCCCAACAGAATCACCAACGTTCAGCTGCCTGGGGACCCAATATCCCAGTATCCTGCCCCAACCATACTGGGGAAAATGTAGCCCATGGGAAGCAGAAGAAGCAAAACCAGGAGGCAGCCAATGTGAAGATGAGCAGAGTGACCCAAGGGTGAGAGACTGGCACAGAGCAGGCACTCTCTTCAGGAGGGCTAGGTGCTGTTAAGAGGTGCAGCACCAAGAGGAAGGCATGGAGCACATGCCCAAATGGTGACAGCATCAACTGTGACTCCTTAGACCTCTACCTCCAAGAGGGCAGCCCCAGGATCTGGTCCACTCTGCCTATATGATCTTGACACCCTGTTACTAAGACAAGGGTTAGTGCTGATCTTGGGATGGGGATGCAGCTGGCAGAGCAGCCAATCCCTACCCCAAAGTCATGGGCCCTGCACCCCCACTTCCCCGCAGCCCAGCCCCACCTACCTGGTTACGGCCTAGCTCCCGAGCCACCTTTGCATTGTGGTCACAGAGCTCAGCCAATGGCCGGCCAGCCAGAGCATAACGCTCAGCTGTGTCCACAAACCAACTCATGCTGCCACCACCAGACTCTGTCTCAAAGACACTGAGAGCACTAGAAGCAAGGCCAGAAAAGGGCTCAGCAGGGTCCAACTTGCGCTTGAAGAAGATGGGGTGGCGCCGGTCGCCAGCATAGGGCTTGCGTCCAGACTCAGCAGCCACTAAGCTTTCCTTGGCTGCAAAGGCCACATCCCCGAAGAGGCCATAGCACAGGCCCTCAGGGTTGGCACGCTCCACAGGCTGGCTGGCATCACGGAACAGATGCTGGCACAGCGTGCTGTCCTTGGAGCCTGAGAGCAGAAAGCAGGGGTCGTGTGGGTGGCGCCAAGCAATGCCTGTGGTGACATCACGGTGCTCCTCGAACATAGCAGCTGGCACAAAAGGCCGGCGCACATCCCACACGTAGATGTTGTGATCTACCATCATGGAGCATGTAGCCAGGTGGTGGCGGCACTCGGGCCGCCACTTGACTCGGGCCACAGAGGCGATGGTCTGCACGCAGTGCATCTCCTTGGCACGAGGCGTGGTCATGTCCCAGACCTTTACCATCTTGTCACGCCCACCTGTGGCCAGCCAGCCCCTGTAGGAAGGCCCCCAAACCCTCAGTGACTTCTCCTAAGAGAGAAGGGACCCCCCCCAAGCCCTGCCACTCCCCATTCTCTCACAGGCCTTCAGCCCTGTGGTCCCTGCAGCCCAGACCACACCTGTCCTCGGGGTGCCAGTCACAGCAGAAGACAGGCCCATTGTGAGCTGTGAACATTCTCTCACATCGGTCAGGACGGCGGATGTCCCAGAGCTGCACATTGCCATTCTCAAAGGTGGAGGCAAAAGTAAAGTAGTCTCGGATGCTGAACTGGACATCCCGTACACTCTCAGACTGGCCTGCAGGCAGGGCATCATTGAAAGCAGAGGTGAGGGAGCTGGCCCATGGTGTGTGTGTGGGGCAGCACTTGGAGTGGCTGTGGGATGGTGTCACA